GTATCATACCTACTTTTTTTACCGATATGAAGCATGACATTGTGCCATTGGTATACTAAGGCGTGACAAAGTCAATAGGCTGATGTTTTGCAGAGAGCCAGTACAAAAAACAAAGACATCACTCTGCATTTGCATGGACCTTACATAATTAAACAAAGCAGTGAAAAGGGAGGGCCACCCCATGGCATCTCATACATCATATGCACGGTATGAGAGTCTGTGAAAGCTCACAAGAAGCACATGGTTTGCCAAGTTTGATGCTAATGGTGGCCTTCAGCGGCTACCTCTGCATAATGAATTCGAATTAGTGGCATCTGATCCTTCATCACACTGTTTGGAAGATATTACTTTATTTGTCCTCCTTTTGAAGTTATTAGCGCAAGAATTGTTTCCAACACTGATGACAAACAATCTAGAAGGACTCATGGATGATACTTAAATCCATAGTTTCACCACATCTACACATGATGAAAGAGTGAGGGCAGTGTTGACAAGCGTGCTAGAAACAGGACTTAGAATGAAAAATGGGAGTTCTCACAACCTACCATTAAATTTTGTGTACACATCATTAATGATACAAAGGGCAGATCCAAGCAAGATTAAAACCAACAACGATATCCTACCACCTGACAATGTTGTGAAACTGCAGAGGTTTATAGGAACTGTTAACCTAGTAGGCATGTTTTAGCAAACTTGGCACAGGAAAATGAATGATTATGACAATTGCTTGGACAGGATGGAACATGCTGTTGGCATAAACCTCAACAGATCTCCTTTGTGAGAATCAAGGCAATGTTTATTTCATCAGAATTACTATTTCACTGGCCCAGAACTACCAAAATAATAGCAGCAGATACATTATTAACTGGACTAGGGGCAGTACTGTTCCAAACCCAGACATGCAGTAAATATAGGCCATTCTACTATGCATCCAAATCTTTGATTGAAATGGAACACAAACATCCAGTGATTGAGAACGAAAACAAGCAGTTACATGGGCATGCAAAACAATTTCAGATTATGTCTTAAATCTGAATTTCACGACTGAAGCAGACCACATACGATTATTAATAACATTGTTAATTGCAAATAAACTGGTGAAGATGCCACCAAACATACAGAGGCTTTGCTAAAGATTAATAAGTTATAATGCTACAACTGAGAACATCCAAGCAAAATATCAAACTACAGCAGATACATTATGACACATTCCTATTGAACAACCATCACAAAAGGACATGATTTTGTCTTTTACTTCTGTGTCTGCAAGATATTTACCTGCAACAGTGAAGAGATTAGAAATAATTAAGTAAGCTGAGATAATGGATGAAGAATGTGTGAAAATTCATTAATACTGAATTGAAGGATGGTCAGAATGCATTCTAAGTAATTTCATGCAGGTGACCTGGTGATCTACAGTGAAGAATTAGTTATTCCGAAAATCCTCAGACTTGTAGGATTGAGCAAAAATTTCCATCATCTAAAATATAGGATGAGACCCTGGACTTTTCTAACATCTGAAATACTGGACAAAATCCTGAGCTCAGGCTGCAAACAAACAACAGAGCCAGAATGATTTCTGTCTGGGATTATCTTTCAGCCTGGAATTACAATTTACACCTCCAGTCTAAGGGAACAATCAACCAAACCTAACTCTCAAGACTGGAACTAACCATTACGCCTCGGGCTACACAGCACAGACAGTTGGGGCCCACAGAGATACTGCCCATTCAGCTTCAATGCAAATCCATTCACAGAGATACCAGACATTCATCTTCAATCAAAATCCAATCACACATATTCTTTATGATTGGAAAACTAATTGACTTCAAAAGAAACACAAGTAACATAATGGCAAGCATAGATTTGGTATGAAGATAAGATGCCCACAATCAGTAGAATTGCAGGCCCCAATCTCACCTGAGGCAGCAATTCCACAGCTATCCTCAGGAGAGATTCCAAGCAGCTATCCCTGGAAGAAAATTTCAAAGAGTTATCTCCAGAAGGGGGATCCCTGAGAGCAATTCCAAGAGCTACCGACCCAGGCCTGTTCTGAATCAGGGGAACCAAAGACAACCGACCATGTCCAGCAGATTGAAGAACTGACCAACTCCAAAAACCACCGACCCAACTGATACCACAAGGCCTCAGACACATCCTGAGGTGAAAACCTGGCCAACTAAACCAGCAGATAGTAAGGAAAACCAAGTACTCACCCAACAGATCCACTACATATCCTGCAATATCAGCAGACTCAACCCAGACTGAAGGCCTATGCAGTCCGAAGTCTTCATCCAGGCACAGTGTGTGGCAAGCAGGAATAAAATTACTTCAAAATTTGTTTTCCTAAGTGGTGAGATTTACAACCTAGTTTACAACAAAGTTTACAACCTAGCCAGCTGGCAGAGGAAAGCGGGTGGTGACAGTGCATGGGACCCCAAAGATAGGAATCCTGATTAAAGCTGCTGTGTTTAAAACCCTTGTTTTAAGTTCTAATAGTGTTTAATCTAGCTAATACATTTAATAGCATGACTGCCCTTGTATAATTGATTGTGTTAATTTTGTTGTTCATTGCATTCACCTTTATTTCTTCTTTTGATTACCTTTTGTATAGCAAATAAATGCAGCAATTCTTATGCCCTGAAACACCTCTCTACTGCCTTCTTCATTTCACCTTCCCTAAATACGTCCAGCATCTGGAATACAGGGGTCTGGGGGTGATTTGAACCATCTAAAATCAGCAACTTCCAGAGTGCAAACTACAACCCTAGAGACTTGACAGTTCTTCAGAGGATATTCCAAGGTCAATCGAATACAGTTGAGCGTTGGATAGGAATTCCATACGGTGGCCAGGAATTTTGAGATCATTGGAAGAAATGGCTTTGAACTATATCACTTGCCATTAGAAACAAAGTTTTCAATGTCAGAGAGAAGAAAAGATATAAAGCAGATGAAGGCCTTCAGTCAGTTGGGCCAGCCATCCTGAAGTCCAAATACCATTTTGGTTGCTTCTTGGTTATTTAGTTCATCCATTCACAGACACCATTTACCAGTATGCCCAATGAACTGTTATCTAAAGGTTTATCTCAAAGTCTTCAGTCCTTTCACTGCCAGCTAGCCTTCTCTGACACAAACCCTTGCTGTCTGTATCCTAGATTCATGCTTCTGTCCTGTGACAACACCGAATTAAAATTATTCAGAATATTGTCTAGACCCTAACTTTTTCTTATTTTAGAGGTAAGTGTAAAGTGTAGCATTCCAGATGCAATTTAATTGGTCAATTTACTCAGCATTAAGCAAAACACACTTTACTTTTACACTACAGTTAAAATACAGAAAAAGTAAAAGTTAAAAAATAAAGAATTGGCTTAACTATCGAAATGCTTAACAAAATAATACGTATATTAACTATTACTAATTAATTGTTCCATTATAGTAACATCCCATGAACACAGCCTTGTCAAAGGCAAATCAGTAAACTAGATTGTCTCACAGGCAATTCTCCAGTCCAGGAGGAGCAACTCTTAAGAGAAAAAGCTGAGAGACACAGAGTAGCAGGGAGAGATGTACTTTAGCTTCCAAACCCAGCTTCAAGATCCCAGCAACTTCTGCTGAAAAACAAAAACTAAAAATCCTGGTTCTGGGGGAGCTAGACATCACCCATTCAGGATGTCACGTTACAGCTGTACAGGACATTGGTTGGGCCACTTTTGGAACCCACGTTCAATTCTGGCCTCCCTGCTATAGGAAAGATGTTGGTTAACTTGAAAGGGTGCAGAAAAGATTTACAAGGATGTTGCCAGGGTTGCAGGTATTGATACTGAATAGGCTGGGGCTATTTCCGCTGGAACATCAGATGCGAGGGGCGACTTTATAGAGATTTATAAAACCATAGGGGGCATGGATAGGGTGAACAGCCAAAGTCTTTTCCCTGGGTTGGGGGAGTCCAAAACTAGAGGGCATAGGTTTAAACTGAGAGGGGAGAGATATAAAACGGACCTGAGGGGGCAACATTTTTATGCAGAGGGTGGTGGATGTATGGAACAAGCTGCCAGAGGAAGTGGTGGAGACAGGTATAGTTACAAATTTTAAAAGGCATCTGGATGGGTATATGAATAGGAAGGGTTTAGAGGGATGTGGACCAAACTATGGCAAATGGGACTAGATTAATTTAGGATGTCTGGTTGGCAAGGACGAGTTGGACTAAAGAGTCTGTTTCCATGCTGTACATCTCTATGTTTCTATGACTCTATTCAGGCTTCTCCGATTGTTCCAGCTCTTTAAAAAAAAAACCCAAAGCCTCACAAGCTGGTTATTGCATTCAAATAGATAGCTTGGTCTTAAAATCTCTATTCAAAAAAACATAATATTGTCACACTGCTCATCTGAACACTTTCCTGAACCACTTTCCCATTCCTTCAAAAATATCCTCAAAAGCAATCTTCTCAAAGATGCTCTCAATCTTTTCTTTCTCTTCTACTGTTACTCCTTGACTGCTTCTTTCATTGTGAAGCTTTGCATGATGCCTTAGTGTATTATAACAATTTATTCTAAGTCATTGTTCTTTCTCACAATAGGAATAAGATTGATAATCAGATCAAGGAAGGTAACCAATTCATTTTCTAAATGAAAGAACAGAGACTAATCTTCAAGTAAATGAAATAAGATTACAATACTATTTTCGTAACGAATTAACTAAGGATATTAATAGATCATCTATTTCCATTGTTATAATAAGAAAGATCATGAAGCTACTATAGATAGGAGGTTAGTTAACTCATTTGGTTGCATGGCTGGGTTGTGATGCAGTGTAACACCAACATCACTGGTTGAGGTCACTCTGAAGGTCCTGCCTTCTGAACCTTGACCTATGCCCATGGCATGGTGACCCTCGGGTTAAACCACCACCTGTTCTCTCTCTCCGTGAGAGTGGCCTCCTGGGGCTGTGTGACTTTACCATGGAGGACCCTAAAAATACAAACATGTTTGAAATGTCTTACCAACATCAAACTCAAATCCCTTTTCACTGAAAGTATGAAAGCAGCCTCCAGCCTGGTCATGTTGCTCCAACACTAGAACACGCCTGCCTGCTTTGGCCAGAACCGCAGCCACTGTCAGTCCACCAAGCCCACTGCCAATCATAATGGCATCAAAGTAATTGGGCACTTTGCCTGTGGGAAAACCTGAAAAGGGAGGCAAAGGTAGTGCTGTAATACTGGTGACAATATACACTGTATGCACTTTTACATTGGAGTAAAACAACCCACTGCGCATAATGTGCAGATCCTTCCTGGAGATTTCTAATGTCCAAAATGTTGAAAGATTTCTTCCAGTGGCAAAATGCTGTTGAATAAACTGATGTATTTAACTAAGACGCAGTTCAAAAACCAGGTTGGATGAACGTTAGATGTACTTAGCATGAACTCAGTCACAGCCAGGAGATGTATGAATTTGAGTTGCTCAGCAGGACCCCAGCAAATTATTTTTTAATTAAACACAAAGCAATTTATAACATGATAGAATCTTGCTGATCTTTCAGCATCATATATCAACTTTACCTTGAGGAGATCTTCTCTCATTAGCAATTCAGCACACAGAATTTTCTTAATAATACCTAGAAGACCTTGAAAGTTTTGATATTTTTGCTAACTAATAACAAATGTATAAAGATGCAGGTTTGTCCAATAGTTCATTCGATGACAATGTGATATCCAAAGTCCCCTTCAAGGGCTCAATTTTGAGTTCACTGAACTCCAGTTTTTTTGGATTGTAAATGTTTATTCACTTTTAAATCCTTCAGTTTTCAGATTTTTTTTTCATGTGATGGGACAATTGCTGGCAAGGCCAGCATTTACTGCTCATTCCTAATTCCTTAGGGAAGGTGGTGGTGAGCTATCATGTTGAATCGCTGGAGTCCAACTAATGTAGGTCTAGTCACAGTGTTGGACTTTTCAGTAGAAGCCTGAGATAATCGAATGTTATCTGATCCATAACAGTGGGCAATCACTTTGCTGTGGGCCCAGAGTCACATGTAGATTGGTGCAACAAAGAACAGGAAATTTCTGACGTGATTTATATTAAAGAAACAAAAGAAGTTTTGAAGACAAACCAATAGTTTCATTATGCTTTTCTTACTTGCTGTTGAGATGTAGGCGTTGTTGGTTAAGTATTTATTGCCCATTGCATAGAGGGCAGTTAAGAGTTGACCACAATTACCGTGGCTCTGGAGTCACTTGCAGGCAAGATAAGGATGACAGATTTTCCTCACTAAAAATTATAAATAAATCAAATGGGATTTTAGAGCCATCAACAGTGATTACATGGTCTCCATTAGGCCAGCTTTTTAATTCCACAGCCAACACTTTTTCATCTACATATGATCCCCATTGTCAGCTTTTCTTCTTCCCTGGCTTAGCATTACCCAGCCACTTTTCTGCCTAACTGCCTTTCACTATCTCTGGGCTCCGTCTCCACCTATCTGCTCACTCCTTCCCAACTTTACACCCCACCCCACCTTCAGCATATATACTAATCTCATTCTAGTCCTGAAGAAAAGTCACTAGACCCAAATGCTAACTCTGCTTTCTCCCCACAGATGCTGCCAGACCTGCTGAGTTTCTCCAGCAATTTCTGTTTTTACCGCAGATTTCGAGCATCTGTAGTTCTTTGTGCCCAGGACATTAGACTGTGTCTCTGGATTACTAACACAATGACAGTACCACTATGCCACGCCTTTTTCAATTCCAACATTATTAATTGCTCCTGAAGCAATTCATTGACCTGGCAGTTTTCCACTATCTTAATGGGACCATGTGGCTGGATCTTCATCAGTTTTACTGAAGTGATTCAGTAGGGTGATTCACCACCACTTTCTCCAGGGCAATTAGGGATAGACATTAAATGCTGACAGTAATGGTCACATCTCACGAAAAAAAATCCAAAGCTTAAAGAATTATAAAGAAAATCAACCTCGACAATATTAAGAAAAAAATTGGAGTTTAAGCAATTGAATTCAAGACTGCAACATTGGTTCAGGCCGAAAGACTTCTAGTTCAGTAATAGTATAACCAAGCTACCATTCCAATTGGTGCCAGGATTCAATTGAACGGGCGCAGGATTCTTGAACTGAAGAACATGATGGAAAGCATTTCTCTCCCTCTTTCAATACAAACTAGAAATACATATCTCTAGATGTGTGGCTATCCAGCAATAGGAAGCCTTCAGGAAAGGAAGGGAGAAAACTGGCCCATGCTTTCTTTTGTAAAGAAATAACTTCCTAATATTATAAGAAGATTCTAAATATAAGTCAGGCTAATCAATATTTAAAATAGACTGGAACAGGAATCATGATTTTAATGAATGATTTGTGATAATGGGTTTACTTATTTGAGGTTACAGAGTGCAGAATATAATTTTTACTGCAGGTCAGATTTCAAAATCTAATGATAAAAGTTAACGTTTGTCTGATTGTAAAACTGCAAAGTGGTATTCATTGTAATAACTGTAGGCAGGACACCAGCTGTCAGAGTTCTAGGTTGTACCTAGAATCTGTATCTAGGTTCTAGGGTGGCATGGTGGCTCAGTGGTTAACACTACTGCCTCACAGCACCAGGGACCTGGATTTGATTCCAACCTCAGTTGACTGTCTGTGTGGAGTTTATATGTTCTCCCACTGTCTGCTTGGCCTTCCTCCAGGTGCTTTGGTTTATTCCCTTGGTCTAATGATGTGTATTGGCCATGCTAAAGGTTGCCCCAGTGCTGTGCAGGTTGGGTGGGATAGCCATGGTTAATGTGGGGTTATGAATGGGATGCTCTTTGGAGGTTTGATGTGGGCGAATGCCTTTTTCTGCACTATAGGGATTCTATGATTCTACCTTCAGTCAGTGCATAGTTACTGAGCTGTGCCATATATACTGGATGCTTGGACTGCAGGGCCCCAAGTAAAGATGTCATCTGTACAGAGTTATGTTCAATGAAGCCTGATGCTGTTAACTCACAGGACTGTAGCTCTCAGATTGCGACACAACGACAATGATGACTGGACCTACAGAACCAGAATAAAAGTACCAAGTGAAACACAGTGAGCAATAAACCATGACACCATCCCAGAGCTGGGGAAAATACCCAAAGTGAAACTCAGCTGCGATAGAGCTTGTCTGGTAATAGACTTTGAAGGATACCTCAGCACTGAACTGCAGAATGGCTAAAACAGCGTAGAAGTTGAAGAAAGCACAGGAAAGGCTCAAGGCAGAATAAATTGTTAGCAACACGTAGAAATCCATCTGTCACAGTAGGAAAGGTATAACAGATATGAAAACATTCACAGAGGTAAGGAAGAAATGAACTCTCAGAAAATACACCCATAGCCAATGCAAGAAGGAACAGGATACTTTTCAATCCACAAAAGAACTTCGCAGTGGAAACCAGTCTGACTTAATTTTATAGAATTGTAACTGCAAAGAGAAACCCAGTGGTAATGCTGCAGTGGAAACCCAGAAGATTAAACACAGACTACAGCAGACTATGGGAGTCTCTGCAAGATGGGAGATGCAAAGTCAAGATGTCACATTCTTCCTGAGGATGTGACAAGTCCACAGTAAAAAATCATTTCCTCTTGGTACAGACCCTCAGAACCAATTTTAGCAAACAGAGATTAAAACAAGGAGCTGTGAAATTAGCTGTGAGTTGGGTACTGGAGTGAATGCATTAATCCCTTGGATGATGTACTATTGCTGGGGTCCTGAACCCTAAGGTCATCCTTTGGGGCTTATCAAGTAGAAGAATTAGAATAAGATGTCGTGGCGTGCTACACTTTGCTGTAATGGAAAAGAGATTATGGAGATGTTGCACATAATTCCTGATCCCTATAATTCTTTATTAAATGTAACTTTTTATCTAACTTTAGTGGACAATGTAGACATGTCAGTCTTTCTATTGAGATCACACTCAATAGTTTTCAACCTGAAGTCCATCCATTTTCTCTCTTCTCAGAATCGTTAATTTTGATCACTGCACCCACCACCAACAACCCCCCCACCCCAATCAGAGAGCTGATGGCCTAGTGGTCTTATTGCTGAACTATTAATCCAGAGACTCAGGTAATGGTCTGGGCATTCAGGTTCAAATCCTGCCTTGGCAGTTGGTGACATTTGTAATTCAATTTTAAAAAATCTTGAATTGAGATCCTGATGATAATCATTAAACCATTGTCAATTGTCAGGATAAACCCATTTGGCCCTTTGGGGAAGAAAATTGCCATCCTTACCTGGTCTGGCCTACATGTGACTCCAGACAACAGCAATGTGGTTGACCCTTAAGTGCCCTCTGGGCAATAAATGTTGGCCTGGCCAGTGACACTCATATTCCATGAATGAGTAAGGCCTGAGGCCTCAATCCCAACCCCAAAGACTGGACTTCCCTGTTTCAGAGGGAGTTAGTTTCAGTTCTACAGCAAGTAATGAATGCAACAACTGAAGGGTAAAGACAGCTGAGACAGAAATGTAATGACCACTTCTTACATTGTTGTGACCCATATTTGTCATTACCGATTAAAACCAGTTGAGTTCTGATCATACTTGCTCGTGTGTTACAGCCAGCTTTATATTCCATATATTTATCAAAGTTGTTAAAACTATTGAGGAACAATTCAACCAGCCAAATAGTTTTAAGCATCAATTATGTGATGTTTTTGAAGGTTGAAATGTCTTAGTTCAGCCACAATTATAGCACAAAATTACTTTTGTTAAAGCTCTGTACTCTGTGTCATGAACTTGCATGTGCTTGAGGATATGGAAGATGCTAATCAAAGTTAAATGACATACCTTGCTTAAGGATTTTGTTCCTGGCACCTCTGTCCAGTACCAAAGGTTGAGGAGGTTTTCTGACATCAACAGCAAAAGCGTTTGCACTTGCACTGAGAAATAAAGAGACTGAAATAACTAGAAGTAAAAGAAAGACGAGAAACAGAAAGAGCAACATACTAATGGAACCAAATATTGACAGTAAAGCAGCACGGAGTCAAAGTCAAACATAAATCATGAGCAAGGGCCAAATGGAAGGAGGTAAGCACAGGAAGTAAAAGCAGAGTCTCGTGCACCTTTGTTTTACAATCTGCAAATGAGAATTCTAAACAAAGAAATCTTTTTAGATCATTTTAATGTCATTCCTTCTTTGCCAAAGGCTATAACATCTACGCATGACTTGAAAACAACTGGTGTTTTGTGGAGAAAATTAATTGCATTATCATCAACAATTCAAATGAACCAGGACTCAAATGCTGCCACTTTTTTAGACAGGAGTTGTTGGTAATGATTCTGCTGCTATTCCACAGCCGTTATATTCATTTTTTGTTTCTTTACTGTCCCACAACTGTCACCTTTCTTGTTTGTGACTTAATGTCATTTCTTCTCTCTTACCTTCCATCTACAGATCTTCCTTAGCGTTCTTTTCTTGTTGTCCACTTTCAGTGCCTTCGTACTTGCTTAGAAACAGATCTATCCTCAACTTTTCTTAGTCCCAGTGAAAGATCAATGACATTTACAACCGCACAGATCTTGCCTAGTCTGCTGAGTGTTTCAGCATCTCCCACTTTAATTTCAATGACATATGTGACTCCAGTTCAGTAATGTTTATAATGGAGTGTGATTTGATAGTCCTGCTGTTTACTGCATCTCCCTTCTGGAGTCCTTCAATAACACTGGTGCTGGGGTCAACTGTGAAAAGCTGATCTGTAAAGACACCATTGAACTACACTTTCCAGGTGGAGGATTCAGTTTTAATTTGTTTTGTATTGCCATTAATGGGATAGTAACAGTCTCAAACTGAGGCCAGGAATTACTTTTACTGCCCCATTAACTTTGGCAGCCAAACCCATTGTGTGAAGAGCCTGCTGATATGACAGCTGTGATCTGTTGCTACAATATGATGCAATGTAATATTTTGGATCTGGGAGTAATTGTTTTCATAAATGGCTGTCCTTATTAACAGATCTCTTTAGCTCTTGCAATCTGTCGTCAGTACAGAGATGGGCTTTTTATCTTTTTACAGAGGGTATTTGTACCTAATGAAGTGATATCTGTGTTAGGTCTCATGACATAGAGCCTAAGTCTTCTTCCCAGGGTGGGGAGAGTTCCAAAACGAGAGGGCATAGGTTTAAGGTGAATGAGCAATGATTTAAAAAGGACCTGAGGGGTATCTTTTTCACGCAGAGTGTGGAGTGTAGATGAAACAAGCTGCCAGAGGAAGAGGCGGAGGCAGGTACAATTGCAACATTTAAAAGGCATCTAGATAGGTACGTGAATAGCAAAGGTTTAGAGGCATATAGGCCAAATGCTACCAAATGGGATGAGGTGAGATTGGGATGTCTGGTTGACGCAGATGAATTAGACTGAAGCATCTGTTTCCGTATTGTTTGACTCTATGACTTGAATGAAATATCTTTAACCTAGAACTGAAGGATTCAGTGGATTTTTATTGCAAATCCTGGTATCTACAGGTGTTTGTGTGTCCAGGGTCAAGTTAAGCAATCCAAATGTAAATTGTTGCACAATCCCCTCAGTGTGTCATGCTGCAAGAGGACTCAGTGAGATGGAGACTGAGATCTTTATACCATCAGGTAACATTTTGTGATACAGTGATGATATCATGACCATGTACGTTAAAGGTATTTTGCATACATGCTGAGACAGAACACAATATTGCCTTTGGCTATCCAAAATTCCAAATTGTTTAAGGCGATTGGGCCTTTTAATATGGAACTCAACTCAATTATATAAAGAGGACTCTGATTGTGCTCCAAGGTTTTCAAGATAAGCATTGCACATGTACGGAATAAGTCGAGGCATCTGGTTGGGTGCATGAATAGAAAGGGTTTAGAGCGATTTAGGCCAAATGCTGGCAAATGGGACTACATTAATTTAGGATACCAAGTTGGCATGGACGAGTTGGACCAAAGGGTCTGTTTCTATGCTGTACGTCTCTGTGGTGCTCGCGTTGCTCAGCTACACCTCCTCACACCCTGCTTCCTGTCAGAATTCAATTCCATTCTCCCAGTTTCTCCAACTGCGTCACATCTACTCTGATAATGCCACATTCCACTGAGCAGCCCTCGACATTGTTTTTCCTCAACCAAGGATTTACTCCATTGTGATTGACAGGGTTTTCAGCTGTATCTGACTCATCTCCCCCATTTCTGCCCTAAATTCCTTCCCCTCCCTTCCAAACTGCTAATAAATTTAATGCAGAGAAGTATGAAGTGATATATTTTAGCTGGAGGAATGAGAAAAGTTGAAATACAGCACTGAAAGCCAACAACAGCTCAGCTACATCCCTCTCTGGGAAGGCTCACTTCATCTTCTCTGGAAGTCTCCACTATCATAGATATCAGTCTTCAGATAATGTGATTCACTCTGTGTAACATCAAGAAATGGCTGGAGGCAATGAATGCTATAAAGGGCTGTGAGCCCTGACATAATGGCTAAAATAAGGAAGACTTGTGCTCCAGTACTCCAGATGCACCCCTGGACAACTTATTCCAGTACAGCTACAACACTACCCAACAACATGGAAAATTGTCTAGGTACACCCTGTACAGAAAAAAGTGAGACAAATACAACCTGATTAATTGCTGCCTCACATCATTCTGGTCTTGTGCATCATTAAAGTGATGGAAGGGATCAACAAGAACTTTAAGGCAGCTCTTTCTTAGCAATAACCTGCTTAGTGACACTCCATTTAGATTCTGTTAGGTTCACTCAGCTCCTGACATTTTTTTACAGAGTTGGTTCAAACATGGACAAAGGAGTTGAACAAAAACAAAGTTGCTGGAAAAGCCCAGCAGGTCTGGCAGCATCGGTGAAGGGAAAAAACAGAGTTAACATTTCGGGTCTGATGACCCTTCCTCACAAAGGAGTTGAACCTCCAGAGGTGATGTGGATGTGACTGCCCTTGACATCATGCCACATTTAACCTAGTGTGGCATCAAGGGACCCTACCAAAGTGACAATCAATAGGAATCAGAGCTCTGACGCCATGAAAGTGTGAGAACTGAGTCCCAACCAATGGGTCAGAGGTGTTGGGCTTCGTGGGGTGCACCATGGATCATGGTGTACATGTGGGTATTTTTCGTTGATTTGTGAATGTGCAGCTCAAAGGTTACACTGGTGTTCAGCACCCAATCCAGTCCACACCCTCTCACCCCCATGCCAGCAAACTCACCACAGGCTGGGCAGAAGATTTAGCTCTTGACTTTCTCAACAGAAGGATTAGGTGTCCATTGGTCAGCTTCCTGAGCAGATGTGGGGATAATGATGTACGACTATCCTACAGCTGATAAATGGAATGCTAGCAACCTGCCAACTGATGCCACAGCTCATGTTGTAGTTCCATGGTCAGAACAGTATGGGAGCATGCGGGTAAACAGGGGCAATGTAAGGTTGGCACCAAGTGAAAGCACAGCTTTAAATAATTCATCTTTGCTTATACAATTGGATGTGTTCGATAATGAATTACGTGTAATTTCTTGCAGGATTCACACCAAGAGGAGTACATGACATAACTTTACAAATAAATAGGTATCTGATGTATGTTGGAGCAGTAGTGGTGAAAGGATGCTGCTCACAAGAACTATAGTCTTAGTAAGCACTGACTCTCAATGTCTCTCTCTCCTCCTTCTCTTTCTTTCCATGCAGGGCTCTCCTCACCACAGCCCGTGCTATATTTCCGAGTCTTACAGACCTAGATGCATGGCAACTGAAGGCCTGATACTTCCTGAGGCCTTTATGTGCAACAAGTGACCAAAACCTCTGTCCTCACTGAGGATGTAGTAACAGTTACTGCTGAGACCAAAAATACTCCTAACACCAAAACCATTCCATACACTCCTGAGTAGAAGTTAGTCTGTGATGACCTAGGAACATAGGAACGTAAGTAAGCCATTCAACTCGAACCATACCTGTGTCTGGGGGGTGGCGGGTGTCTTAATTAGTGGAATGAGGTTGGGGTTCTGTCCTCTTGTAGCTGAAGCCATGTTCCTAAGCTGAATGTAGTGAAGGGACCTGTGTGACCCCTGTTAGGACCACACCTCAAATTAACCAGACCAGATAGAACATTGAACAGTACAGCGCAGGAACAGGCCCTTCAGCCCATGACATTGCGCTGAACACGATGCCAAATGAAACTAATCCCCTCTGCCTGCCCTTGCTCCATAACCCTCCATTGTCTGCACATTCCTGCGCTTATCTAGAAGTCTCTTAAATCCCCTTATCATATCTGCAAGCCTACTGGACCTGGTATTCCCAGGCTGTCTCCCACCCAAGTACTACCCAGGCCTGAGTCTGCTTCGCCTCCCAGATCAGATGAGATTGGACATTTTCGACATGGGCAGGTGGCTTTTCTCCCTGAAATCATAGAATCTCTACAGTGTGGTAGCAGGCCATTCAGCCCATCAAATCCACACTGACCTTCTGAAGACCATCCTACCCAGAACTAGCTACCCTACCTTCTTTCTACAATCCTGCATTTCCCATGGCCAATTCACCTAACCTGCACATCTTTGGACTGTGGGAGGAAACTGGAGCATCTGGAGGAAACCCACACAGACAGGGGGAGAATGTGTAAACTCCACAAAAACAGTTGCCCAAGGGTAGAATTAAACCCTTGTCCCTCGCATGATGTTTGATATCATAACACCCCTGAAGCATTCAATATGTGTACTCAGCATGGCATACAGCACAAGAGACACTAGGAGGTATGAGGTATGGAGGACCATTGATTCCTGTAGTATCGGCTCCACTGGATCAACTGAATGGAATCTCTAACCCAATGTGTTTCTCAGAAACAAAAATTATTAAATCAAACTATAAATAAAGTGAAAGAAATCAGCAGAATGTTATAAACCAATGCTGGAGCAATTATATAATTGAACAAAATTATTAACATATTTTAATTTTTTTTTACAAATCATTTTCAGGAATGGTTTC